GTGTAAAATACACAAGCAACAAGGATATACTGTACTGCACAGGAATTATAGCCATTATCTTATAATAACTTTTAATGGAGTACAGTCTGTAAAAATACTAGACCACAATGCTGTACACCTGAAACTAATATAATATTGTAAATCAACTATACTCCAATTTTTTTAAAAAAATGGAGGTGCCAAGGAGTTGGGAGGGATGGAACTCTCTGTGGTAATGACATCTGAACAAAGACCTAAGGACATGATGGAGCAAATATACAGCATCTGGGAGAGAGCTGCTACAAAGAATGATTCTGGAAAATCAACATCAATATTTAACCAATATCAAGTCCAAGATGGCCCTTTAGGTGTGATTCCCAGGAGCTTCACGACAGGCATTCATGTCTCTTCTCCATCGCTCAGAGGCGGATGGCCCTGGAAGGGAGAGACAGGAATGTGTGGGGTGGACCCCACTCTGACTCTCTCTAGGTCCATCTCAGCCACACACATGTGTCTTCACTTAAGTTCCAAGCGCATGTGCCTCTCTCTGTCCCACCCTTGCTCCCACCTCATTCCTCTTGTTTCTTAAGTGACAAGGACAGATTTTCATTGGTAATACACTATCACAACAAGGAAAAGAGTCCTATGTGAACTGAAGTGAACTTTGATTTGTACAGAGCTGACTGGCTGTTTTGTTTTTATCTACCGAGATATAATTCCTCTTTCTTTTTAAAGAAAAGCCATAGCCATATTTTAATCATTGCTTCTTTTGGTGACAATGTGATATTGTGGATCAGGAGAGAAAAAGTTTCAAACAGAATGCACAAAATTGAGAGCTTCTGAATATACTGTCTTAAAGCAACCTCTTGAGACCTATTAACTGAGTAGAAAGGAAAGAACTTAGGGTTGGGAAGGTGGGGTTGGATGCAGCTTTCCATGTCTTTTTATATATTCTAGATGGAATAGTTTGGCTAGTAAAAGTCAAATGTGGTAAGGTTATTGCCTTTCGAGCCAATCCTATAAAAACATTGTCAGAACTGGAGCGTTCCAGATGTGGTAGACATCAGAGCAGACGAGGAATCTGGGGAAGGGCAGGCTCCATTTTCTTTCTGGGTTCTGACCTGTCTGTAATCTGTTGTTACGGGTTCTTCAGATTTGAACGAGTCTCTGGGCTCAGCACTCTGAATCATAGGTTTCTAGATTCCCCAAAAGGAAACAGCCTTATTTCTTGTGATATATTTGCCTAGTAATTTATAATTTTATTTTTTCTAGTAAGCAGCTGACATTCAGCACATTTTTATTCATTTTGTACAACAGGCACTAAACGATTCTGAATGCCAGGCACCTAATCAGATTAAGAAAACCTTCACGTTGGCCAAAGGTTTCTGCTTTTGTGTTACAGTGAACTTCCCCATGATCAAATCTAAATAAGAAAGTCAGTTCTTTCTTTTCTAACCCATCTCAAGAAAGGAGGTGAAGCAGCCCAAGGCTTTCAGCGAAGATCCTTCCTCATGCAAAGCCTTATCAGATACCCCCACCAACTTGGTCATTTACAATACATTGGGGCTGAGGGTGGGGAGAAAAGGCGCAATTACACAGGATTAAAATGAAAATTCAATTTAGAGATCAGCTGACTCGTTTCATGGTCAATTTTTTCTTTGGCAGCAAAATTATATCTTGATAAGCCAAAATTGGACTTAGTTTTCAAGCAGGCTGGATGCAGGTTGTGGCAGTATCACCATCTATACCGACTCTACAGAGATGCTAAACCTTTAGTCACCTTCCAGAGGAAAGTCAGATTCTAAATCAAATTAGCTGAACCCAGGTAACCAGATCACCTGGGACTGGCCTCAGCAGCCTCAGCTCTTGCCCTGATCATACCTTGAGGTTGCACTTAACAATCTGTCACATCGGAAAAAAATAGATCTAAGGCCACAAACACTAGTGACGTCGATTTCAATGAAGATTTCACAGGAAGACAGAAAAGATTGCCATCTTACACCACACACCAAAACCTGCATAAAAGTCTTTTTTACCGTAATTTCTCTCAAAAATTTTCTCTGTAAGTCACCATTTCACTTTCCCTTCATTCTCTTTCTCCACACAGCTTCTAAAACTCCAGAGGAAGTCAGTTCTGGTACTCAGTTTGCATATTCCACTTAGCAAAATAAAATCATGGTGGTATATACATACAATGAAATACTACTCAGCCGTGAAAAAAGAATGAAATACTGATACAAGCTACAACATGGATGAATCTTGAAAACATGATGCTAAGTGGAAAAAAAAGCCATGAAAGGCCACAAATGGTATGATCCCACTTATATGAGATATCCAGAATAGGTAGATCAATACAGACAGAAAGAGGATTGGTGGCTGCCAGAGGCTGGGGGGAGAGGGTAATGCGGGTGGCTGCCTGCTGAGTATGAGGCTTCCTTTTAGGGTAATGAAATGTTTCTGAACTAGACAGACGTGGTGGCTGTAAAACATGGTGGATGTACTAAGCGTCGTTGAATTGTTCGATTGAATATGGTTAATTTTACGTTATATAAATTTCATCTCAATAAAAACAACTAAATCAAATCATGGCAGTAATTTCCCCCAACACTTTTATTAGAAGACTGTCCACCAAACATCTAGTAATACTCAACCATGTCTCCCGCCTCCCCACTCTAGAGAGTTTATGAAAGCATTTTTTTCAACAAAACTGGTGAGTTAAGACTTCCCAGGGACTAAGAAAATAAGATTTTGTTTTTCCCATTCACCCGAGAAAATATCCTAGACAGAGTAGGTCCATACGGAGCAGGGTCTGAGGGATCCCCTTGGGCCGGACCACAAGGCTCTGAGGGATCTGCCCAGGTCCAGGAGAGGAAGTGAGGAGGGAGCCAATTCACACTAAGGTGAGTCCCTTCGGTGGAGAAGCCATGAATCAAATAGCAGGATTGGAGAACTGGGCTTATCTTGGGCCATTAGCTCAGCCAAGGACTCCTGCTGTGATGGGTGGGGTGGTGAGGGCTGGAAGGTGCCACTTCATAAGCCACACCCCAGCCAAGCCAGTCTAGGGTCAGCCTTCCTATATTAAAATCATGACAGGTATTTTACACGCTCGTCTGTTTCTAGGGTTTTGTGTTTTGCTTTGTCTCATTTTGATCCTCGGTAAAGTTCCTTTTGAAAAATTGCAAATTTTGTCTCAGATTTATGTCATACTACCTACCTTTGGCTATTTTACTGCTGGTGACAGATTCCACAGTCCAGCTGGCACTGTTCCATCCCTTAATCAGGGGGTATGAAGGGCAGGGGTGGTGGTGAGAAGTACTAATAACACCAGCTCATATTGTATAGCATGTTCTCATATGTTATCACTTTTAACCCTTACAACACTTTAAAACAAATATTATTTTTCTCTTACCCAACATATATAAACAGTTCATACAACTCAACATCAAAAAATCAAACACCTCTACTAAAAAATGGGCAGAAGGGGACTCCCCTGGTGGCACAGTGGTTAAGAATCTGCCTGCCAATGCAGGGGACACAGGTTCAAGCCCTGGTCCGGGAAGGCCCCACAGGCCGCGTAGCAACTAGGCCCATGGGTCACAAGTACTGAGCCCGCGTGCCACAGCTACTGAAGCCCTCGTGCCTAGAGCCCGTGCTCCGAAACAAGAGAAGCCACTACAATGAGAAGCCCGCGCACCGCAACAGAGTAGTCCCCACTCACCGCAACTAGAGAAAGCCCGCGTGCAGCAACAAAGACCCAACGCAGCCAAAAATAAATAAATAACAGTTTTTTAAAAATGGGCAGAAGAACTGAACATTTTTTTTAATCATCTTTATTGGAGTATAATTGCTTTACAATGGTGTGTTAGTTTCTGCTGTATAACAAAGTGAATCAGCTATACGTATACATATATCCCCATATCCCCTCCCTCTTGTGTCTCCCTCCCACCCTCCCTATCCCACCCCTCTAGGTGGTCACAAAGCACCGAGCTGATCTCCCTGTGCTATGCGGCTGCTTCCCACTAGCTATCTATTTTACGTTTGGTAGTGTGTATATGTCCATGCCACTCTCTCTTTTTGTCACAGCTTACCCTTCCCCCTCCCCGTATCCTCAAGTCCATTCTCTAGTAGGTCTGTGTCTTTATTCCTGTCTTACCCCTAGGTTCTTCATGACATTTTTTTCCCTTAAATTCCATATATATATATATGTGTTAGATTCCTTAAAAAACTACAAATAGAACTACCATATGACCCAGTAATTCCACTCCTGGGTATAAAAAAACAAAACAAAACACTAATTCAAAAAGATACATGCACCCCAACGTTCATAGCAGCACTATTTACAATAGCCAAGATATGGAAGCAACCTAAGTTTCCATTAACAGATGACTGACTTAAGAAGATGTGAGATAGATAGATGTGTGCATACACACATATACACACACACAGATGCACACACAATGGAATACTACTCAGTCATAAAAAAGAATGAAATTTTGCCATTTGCAGCAATATGGATGGACTCGGACAGCCTTATGCTAAGTGAAATAAGTTAGACAGAGAAAGACAAATACTGTATGATATCACTTATATGATATGTGGCATCTAAAAAATACAACAGGGCTTCCCTGGTGGCGCAGTGGTTGAGAGTCCGCCTGCCGATGCAGGGGACACGGGTTCGTGCCCCAGTCCGGGAAGATCCCACATGCCGCGGAGCGGCTGGGCCTGCGTGTCTGGAGCCTGTGCTCCACAACGGGAGAGGCCACAACAGTGAGACGCCCACATACCGCAAAAAAACAAAAACAAAACAAAAAAAATTACAACAAACTAGTGAATATAACAAAAAAGAAACAGACTCACAGATACAGGGGACAAGCTAGTGGTTACCAGTGAGGGGGGGGGCAGTATAGGGGTTGGGGAGTGGGAGGTACAAACTATTGGGTGTAAGACAGGCTACAAGGATGTACTGTACAACACAAGCAATAGAGCCAATATTCTGTAATAACTGTAAATGGAGTGTAACCTTTAAAAATTGTATTAAAATATATATGGGGGAAAAACAAGGAAACAAAAAAATAGGGGGAAAAAAAAGCCAAAACAACAACAACAAAAAGACATTAACAGGATGCTGTGTGCTTTGGACAAGCAGTCCCTTTAGATGGTTTAGATGTATATTTCAGGAAGAATTTTAATGAACCCAGACTCTTGCATTTTCCCGTACATGAAAAAGCACTAAAATCATTAACTTGAGATGTCCATTCCTTGTGACTAGCAGTAATCTTTAATCACAATGTATGCTTGATTACACATATACCCTAGCCAAAAAAAACACCAAAAAACATAGAAACTGGCTTCTCCTCCCACCTCTTTAGAACATTTCTCTCAGAGTTACTAAGAGGCTGTTTCCTGGACTATCATCTCCAGTAAGACCCTGAATAAAACTTTTAAACTCTCAGAACAATAACATATATATAATATTTAGAAATTAGGAAATTAAATGTAGATTTACAGAAAATGACCCATAGATGCTAGGTAAAATCCAGGGACACTGGGTTCGATAATGAGGTGAAACATCAAAGGAGATGTTATGAACTGAACTGTGTCTCCCCAAAAAGGACACATAGGCGTCTTAACCCCCAGTACCTCGGAATGTGACCTTATTTGGAGATAGGGTCTGTATAGAGGTAAAAGTTAAAGTGAGGTCATCAAGGTGGCCGTAACCTAACATAAATGGTGTCCTTATAAAAAGGAAAAACTTGGACACAGACAAATAAGGAGAAGGCAACCATCTACAAGGCAAGGAGAGAAGCCTTCTCTCACAGCCCTTGGGAGAAACCAACACTGCCAACACCTTGATTTCAGATTTGAGACAATAAATTTCTGTTGTTTAAGCCAACAGAAATTGGTACTTCGCTATGGAAGCAAGATATGGGGAAGTGCGGATGTGGATTCCTTGCTAATGGGAACATCACTAGAGAAACTTCACAGCATACTAGTCACTCCACCCAGCTTTGGACACCAGCACCCTGAGGGGGGCTGCACAGGAAGTTTGGAGTTTCCAGGTAGAAGAAAGAGTCCCTGCCCTGGAAGCAGACTTCAGCATAAGTGGGAGACCTGGAAGTCAGCTTCTAACAGGAAGGTGCTGACGGTCATGGGCACAAGACTAAAATACAAGCTACAAAGGGAAAGGTGAGGGTAGGAGTGGCCAGCTTGAGAATGCATCTTGGCCCCCTTCCCTGTGCCTCTACCCCTTCCCTCACTCTGGCTATCTGGGATCACCTTCCAAATCAACTAGCATGAACTTGGCTACTCTGAATTGAGCTGTGTTGGAATATAAAATATGTACCACATTTCAAAGTATGAAAAAAGAACATAAAGCACCTCCTTATATTCGTTTCCTAGAACTGCTATAACAAATCACCACAGATTTGGTGGTTTAAAACAACAGAAATTTATTCTCTCACAGCTCTGGAGCCAGAAATCCAAAATCTAGTTGTTAGCAGAGCCATGCTCCCTTAGAAGGCTTCAGCATTCCTTGGCTTGTGGCTGTATCCCAGATCTCTGCCTCTGTACTCACATGGCTTTCTCCTCTGTCTCTGTCCTCCTCTTCTGTCTCTTATAAGGACACTTGTCATTGGATTTAGGGCCCACCCAGATAATCCCAATGATTTTATTTCGAGATCCTTAATTTAATTACATCTGCAAAGACCCTTTTCCCAGATAAGGTCATATTCACGGGTTTCAGGGATTAGGATGTGAACATAAATTCTGGGGAACCACCTTACAAGCCACTACACTCCTTAATAATTTTTATGTTAGTAACATGGTGCATTAGTTTGCTAGCACTGCCACAAAAAAAATATCATAGACTGGGTGGGTTAAACAACAGAAGTTTATTTTCTTATAGTTCTGGAGGCTAGAAGTCCGAGATCAAGGTGCCAGCAGAGTTTGTTTCCTCTGAGGCTTCCCTCTTTGGCTTGCAGATGGCTGCCCACTTGCTGCCTCTTCACATGGTCTTTTCTTGGTGCTTAAACATTCCTGATATCTCTCTTGTGTGTCCAAATCTCTTCTTCTTATAAGGACACCAGTCAGGTGTCCTTGATGACACACCTTGGTGATTAGAGCCACCTTAATGATCATTTTAGCTTGATTACCTCTGTAAAGACCCTATCTCCAAATACAGTCACATTCTGAGGACGGGGGGTTAGGGTTTCAACACGAATTTGGGGGGAACACAATTCAGCCCATAATACATGGTGAAATAATATTTTGGTTGTTTTAGGTTAAATAAAATATATTCTTAAATTTTAATTTAAAAGGAAGTATGGGGAACATCTTAAACAAACTTTGACTCCTCACAAATTTGCCCAGGGTCTGCCCTTAATTCTCCCTATGGCCCAATCTCCTCCACCAACCCTGGCCAGAACAAGGGCTGTTAATGAAATCCTAGGATCTTGATTCTCTGGGTAGTTTGAGGAGCACTTGGGGAAAAGAGACCAGGAAGAAGGTCCTAGTGTTGGTGTTATTGAGGGACTTTCAAGGACAGAAAGAAGAGATCTATTAAATCTGTTTGAGTACCTATTCTGTACAGAAACCCCCCTACACACACACACACACACACACACACACACACACACACACACCATCTCTGCAAGTCTTGCGCAAAATCTGCCACACTCCTAAATGTTTTGTTTCTTGAAAGAAATCAGGGAAAGGACCTGGTCGGCATGAACCTGAGAGGACAGAGCAGCCACAGAGGTGGGATGTGGGTGAGCCCAAGGCCAGCAGGAAGAGGAACGTGGAAACGCAAGTGACCACCAAAGTGCTGGGAGTTTGCAAAGATCTTTGGGAGGGTATCTGACTTCCCACAGGATGTGTGATGGGGGCTTGAGCTAATTTTCTTTCAATCTCAAAGGACAGGGTGACGTCAACTGATGACTGGGTTTACTTGTTATCAAAGAGTTGAAATGAAGACACAGGAGGCATGCTTATCAACTTTGTAGAGGACAGGAAGCTGAAAGGAACAGCAAATACATAATTAGAACCCACAAGCCTCAAGAAGCTAGAATACCAACCTGAATTTAATAAAAGGAAACAATAAGAATGAAGGGAATGCCCTGCACTTGAGAGGATAGATAGATAGGGAAATAAATAAATAAAAACTATTGGTACAAAGCACTTGGAAAAGAGTCAGGGGTTTGACCCAGATGAGGGTACTCCAAAAGCAGATGGGACCCAGGCTGTTCTAGTAGAAAAGCAGTATGCAAAGGAGGGAGCAGGCAATCAGGTTCATTCTTTCTAGTCAGGCCCCCGGAATGTCAATTTCAGGTCTGCTTGCTGTACATTAAGAAGGAAGCAAACTGGAGCACGTGCAGAAAATGAATGACCAGTGTGATAAGGGAACCCCAAACCACGTAAGGCAGGAACAGTGCTATGTAGCTGGAGAAGAGAAGCACCAGGGGAGAAGGGAGAATTCTCTACATGAATCTAAAATGCTGCCATGTGAAAGAGCTTGGGCTTGTACTGAATGGCTCTGAGGAGTGAAATCAGGAAGAAACTGGAATAATGTATAATGAATAAAACAAATGTATCCAGTAGGATTTGTTTAACTGGAAGTAACAGAAAGTCTGATTAATAATGGCTTAAACAACAAAAAAAATTCCATTACTTAAAAAAAAAAAAAAAAGGCTAGAAGTAGTCCATGGGTAAGGCCTCAGGCTTTCTCCAATCTTTTCCCCCACCACCCTCAGAGTTCTGGTTTCATCCTCCAACTGTTGCCTCATGGTCAGACGATGGCTGTTGAAGCTCTAACAGCGCAAATCAGCTCTCAGAGCAAGGGAGGAGGGTGACGATAAGGGGATGTAGCAAAGAGGATCTTTTCCTTAATGGTGCTGTCCTTTTTCAGAAAAGGAAACAATTTCTCAGATGTCTTCGTATACGTATCTCATTGGCCATACTGGGTTATGTGGCCAATTCTAGCCACAGGAAGACTGGAAAAGGAACACCTAGCTTTTCCAGCCTATATAGTGGGAGGCTGGCAAGAGAGAAGAGAATGAGTTTTTAGCAGCCCTTAGTAGTGTCTGCCACAACAAAATCAACTATAAATCAACTACCAGTAGATGCTCTTAGTGTTTTTAACGCAAATATGTTTATATAAGCACATATGCTCACATAGGTCTACTGCACACAGTTTTATTCCCAGTTTACATTGCTTAATATTTTGAGTATCTTCCTATAACGTTTTGAAATTCTTTGAAAATGTAATTTTCAGCAGTTGTACAACATCCTTATGCTATTCCACATTCAACCACTCCTCTACATGGAGGTTATTTCTACTTTGATAGAACTTTCTAGCTGTCATATCCAGAGGCAGAAGGGTGTGCCTTGGAAGGTAATGAGGTGCCCACCTTTGGAAATATTCCATCACAGGGATGAAAGAGATAAGACACAGCATGGGGGTGGGTGGTTCCTGGACTCTATGACATCTCAGGCCCTTCCTCACCTCCTCAAGATGCAGATGATAGGGTGTAAAAGATATGGAGACGTGATCAGGGAGCGTCGCCGTGCCCTCTCTGTTTCATCTTCCCATTCTGCTGCCTGAGCCCACAGGCTGCACAACATTCCTCCTCTGGATACCCGCAAGGTCAGCACCCCACACAACACCCCATCCCAAGGTCACACCATCTCTCTCACTATCTCCTGTCAAGGAGAATAGCCTGAATCAGTCTTCACAGGCTTTAAAATTGCCTGAATAGGGTTTCCCTATTGCTTCCCCTGGTGGCGCAGTGGTTGAGAGTCCGCCTGCCGATGCAAGGGACACGGGTTCGTGCCCCGGTCTGGGAAGATCCCACATGCCGCGGAGCGGCTGGGACCGTGAGCCACGGCCGCTGAGCCTGTGCGCCCGGAGCCTGTGCTCCATAATGGAAGAGGCCACAACAGTGAGAGGCCTGCATACCTCAAAAAAAAAAAAAAAATTGCCTGAATATAGACAGCAACATCTCTGGCTCTTATCAATGGGCCCAAACATGAGAATCAGTGGGAAGCACCTAGGCCTGGACCAGGGGGGCAAGGATGGAGAGAGCCTAAGACGCCAGGAGCTAATGACAACATCCCAGTGATGCTCCTCTGCGGCCTCTTGCTGCTCTGAAGCCTATCTGTGGCTTTCCAGCCTGCCACGGGGACAGGGAATGGGCAGGTATCTTCATTATGACGGCTCAGCAAACACCACCAGGGTCATGTAGGTGAGCTGGGTAATGCAAAGAGTGAGAAGTGTCAGTTCCCAAGGGTTGTGTGCTAGGGGGTCACAGACACTGGAGTGGTGTTGGGGGACAGAGCAGACACCTGACTTATCAGTGACGGGTTTGATATCAGCCGTTGCTATATATAGTTGTGCTTCAAGGGATGTGATCTGACCTAAGTCTAAACGAATTTAAATTTACCTTCCATGGAATCACGGAAGTATTCATACTCTTCAACAGGGTCAACATCCCAAGCCTACAATTCAAAAACCAGAATTCAAAACCAAGATTTTTAAGACACAAGCAACTTGCCAGATGACAACTCAATGACAAAAAAATAGCCATTAGCAACATCACCAGTTTATTCTCAGTTACACGGACCTTAGCTCATCCCTCCAGTTTCTTGCTCTTTTAAGTGGGTTTAGGGAACAAATATTTAAAGGTCAAATAATTTCGGTAAACTTCAGTGATACAATATTGCTAATGCCAAGCACAAAACAACCCAGTAAGAAAAGTTGCAAGTATTTGCATTGTCTCTTTTCTAAAAATGGAGCTCCAATTGCTTGCTGGATGAATGGAATTGGAAAGGTCAGCAGCCCCAAAGGTCATTTTCTTGCCTATGAATATTGTGTCTACCACACAGCACAATCGTGTGTGCATCAGCAGCTCACTAGGGGCAGACCAAAGGCTGGAGCCAGGGATCTGAGCAGAGGAATAATTTGTGTCTCAGCTCTGCCAACAGCTGCCCCCAAGGCATGTCTCTTAATTACTCCATGACTTAATTTGTTCAGGCTCTTATTTGGGTCCATGAATCTGGCCACCAGAAGGAATCTTGAAAAGTCCCTTCTACTAATAGCTGCCCCCTTTCCCCCAGGTTAATATCAAAGGAACCCTCTTTAATTTTATTAAATTAATAAAATATCCTTCTTAATATTATTTAACCTTTGGATTAGGGACAAGTCTCATTCTGTTCATCATAAGTCTCTTAAAATTGTATTGATTCTAAGTTCTCAAACAGAACAAAGTATACGTAAACTTGGTAAAGCACAAGTTTGAGAAAATGTTAACTGTCCCACTTATATTCTTGACTGCAACCCTCATAAGATGCAGGACATTGTATGAGGCAATCTGCTGGTTTATAGAGCTGGGTAGACTATGTCCCTGTCTCCAAGAACTTCCAGCATAGAGGAGAAACAATGACTAATATAGATATTAAGAGAGAAAGGAAAAGGATATATAGGTTACACACAAAATACGAACAGCTCTAGTAGACACACCTGGGACATCTGTCCAGCCCACAGTGACCAGCTTTCTCTGAGAGCTGCCTCTGCCCTCAGATACCACATCCACAGCCATGTTTACACACCATCACTCGCCCCCCATCTCAGCCACGGCTGATTGGACCAGTGGTAGACACCTCACCAAGCTAAGTCAAATTCTCTGTCCCGGGAAGCTGGAATCGTAATTCAGAGCACCTGTAAACTCCGCCAATTTAGGTGCCTATACCTCTGGAGAAGAAGGAGGACAAAAGAGAGCAGAGAGGAGCAGCCCGAGACCCTGTGTGCTCCCACCCCCAGAGGCTGAGAAGACAGCTGCCTTGGTTGCTAACGGCTTTGCCCTTTCTGGTACCCGGCCTGCATGGGGCCCCGAGGACACTCCTATCTTCCTGAAACATCCTTGTTTCCTATGAGAAATTTCCCCTTTCTCCTTGAGCTGGCCCAGGCTGCTGCTACATTCAAAGCCATCTTGACTAGGCCTTGATCATTAACATGCCCCTCCTCATATAAAAGAGACACAGGTAATCCAAAACAGCCAACAGTCCAAAAGCCATTTTTGGCCCTGGAGGACACCATGAAATGAGTATGTTTAAATTGCTGAAATTCATAACACCTTGAACGAAAACACAAGCCCACAGCAATGTAAACCTGATCGACAGAGTCCAGCGAAGCCTGTTTCCTTTGTCCTGCCCTAGGCTCTGCTAGCCTCTGCTCTCTGGTCCTCACAGGATGAGGAAGCATTACCACTTTCCCTCCCCTTCCACCCATCTCCCCCGCAGACCCACAGCTGAGCACCTCATGTTTTGGGAGGAACCTTTAAAAGCCCTTCCTGAAAGCATCGAGCATAACAGACGGCTGCCCGAGAAAATAGTAGAGGAGGCAAGAAGACCACTGGATTCTTTTCAGAAAAAGTTTACCATCACACCTCAGATAATTTATAAAATAAATAATGCCTAAAAGACATGCAAAAGAAGACCTGTGAGTGGTTGGCTTCCTGGTCAATGAGGGTTTCCAGTGTGGTTCAGAAGTTTTGATGCAAGAGCCATGTAGAAAGGAACCTGATTAAGGATCCGCAGGAACAAAAACCATTGCAGGAAAGAGAGGGAAGAAGACTCTATCAGAGCAGCCTGAACGCTCATCGGGCTGAGGAGAGTGTGCAGAGTGGGGTGGAGGGTGGTGGGAACACTGGTGCTGTCCTTACAAAGCCTGGTAGGCCCCGTATCCTGGGAAACAGAATCCACCAATTGCATTGAGAGAGATCTCTTTGTATAACCCAAGCCTTCCCCATGGCGAAATAATCCCCTCATCACTACCCAACACCTACATCTTAAGTAGTTTACGGACCTATTAAATACCACAGAGACCAAGGATCAGGTCTGGTACCTTATAGATGTGCCCACGAGGATCAGCTTCCAGTTTATAAGGACTTGGTCATGGAGATGACTTCATTCAATCACAAAACGAGGTGACCTGGAGGGACCTCAGGGAGCCCTCTTCCA